TTGATTCTCTGTTTGGCTTAGTTTTTCGGATCTTTGTTGTGGAGGGACGGCGTGGTGCTTCTGCCTAGACCGCCATCTTGCCGGAGTCCCTAGGCAGCTATTTTTAAACTGTGTGATGTGATAATGATCATTTTAAAATAGGAGCTCACAATTACTACTTCTACCCCAGGTTTTGTTCCAAGTGTTTTACATGAATTAATGCTTTCGTTTCATGCCCACAACAACCCTATGTGGTAAGTACTATTATTAGCCCCGTTTTTCTGATGAGAAAATGAGGACCAGACAGGTTAAACGACTTTCCCAAGGTTTCAGAGCTGGTGACAGGTAGAACCAGAATCTGAACTCAAGAATGCTGGCTCCAGATCCCATGCTCTGTAACTGCTGCTACACGGTAGCCTTTCCGTGAAGGGAGAGCTGGGACTAATCGGCTAACTGCCGAAGCAGTGTCAATACTAACTAGTTTGTATAAGCAGATGCAGTGTGTCCTCGGATGCACAGCTGGAGAAGTTTAGCTTTACCAAACAGCTCTCACATCTCAGGTGTACGCTCTAATCCCAACGGGGTTGGGTGGGTCACGCAGGGATGGATTACCCAGTAAGCAAGATACGCACGGGGTTACCTGTGTTCACTTACTAATCTGTGGTGCACGGTTTCACATGGGTGTCACCACACCTCTGACGTGGTGAAAAGCAGGTGAAACTGTGCACCACAGATGACTAAGTAAGCACAGTAAGCCCATGTGTACCTTGCTTATTGGGTAATCGTCCCTGGGTAGGTGGGGGTGAAGAATAGAGGGTAGAAGGTGGGGAGTGGGTGTTCCCATTACGGATGGTCCTGGGTCACCCATCCCACTGCACTTCTCCACATCTTTGAACTCCTGTACTGTATATGTAAGAGCAAGACTAGTGAATTCCACCCTTCCAACAACCCTGCTGAAATCAATAAATGTCCAGCTGAAAAAACTTTAGACATGGCAAGTGCAAACAAATCACCTGATATCAGAGAATAAAATAAAATTTCTTCACCATGGGAAACAGTATAACAGAATATTCAAGTGCAAAAACAAGTTTCCAGGAAGTATACACATACTTTAAAGATACTTTATTAAAAACAAAGGTTTTCCATTAATTTATCAATTTGTACTAGTCAAAAAGGAAATGAATAATACAAATCTGTATCTTCGGGAGGCTTTTAGCAACGTAGTTTGGTAAATCTGAGAAGTTTACACAGTTGTCAATTTAACATTATTACAGTTTAGATACAGTCAATGTTAAACAATACCAGGAATGTTAGCCTCAAGATACCAAGGACTTCCATATTGTTAAGGAAAGTCATGGGAAAAGTTATACTTCCATTTCACCTTTTTATTTTTAACCAACTCTAACTTATCAGTCACAGGCCTACAGAGTTTCCTTGTTGGTCTTGGTTTTTAAGTATACGGATTTAAAGTAAATATTCCCCTTCTCTTATATATTGGCTAACATCTTTGGGAGCAGCCTGCTAAAACAACGACCAGTGAGGAACAAAGCTACTTTCCTGTTTAGGGAGAGGAGGAGTAAGTGGGGTGAAGAAAAGCACACAATCAAGGGCCTCCTGCCACAGTTGTTAACAAGACTTTGGAACCGGCCTGGCCTCATTAAATTTTAACCGGATCTCTTAGGCATCAAGACGGCCATGTACGCATTGCCCGCTAGACTGCGTGTGCTACCTGAGAAGAGCTTTCTCCAGTTGCTGAAGTGCCCCTTTGCTTCCAATTATTTTAAAAATATTGGTCAGCTCTAGTCTAAACAGGGAAAGAGCTCTGAAAAATCATATTTTTGTAACACCCCCATCACCACCACCAACAAAAAGATTCAGTTTCCACCACCTTAAGCCACATCTACCTCCACAATAAAGAGCTGAGGAGATTATCTGTAAATGAAAAAAAAAAAAATCAATGTCGGTATTTCAGAGCAAGGGACCTGGACTGCCTAAAATACTCAGATGACTGCCTGAGTTATTGTACATTTCCCATTATTCTTTGTACAGTAAGTCTTAATTTATAGGAACTTTAGTCAGTGTTCAAAGAAGAGAATAATCTACCCAAATAATATACCTACTTAGGACTTGTACTTTGGACCAGCCACGTATTATTTTAAAGTGTGGCTTGGCAACCCTATTCTCGGCTCTCTTTTTTTTTAAACTAAATTAGTTGCTATTTAATTGATAAACTTAGACCTTACTGTTTGGATGATGCTGTTAAGCAGTATTAGTCTAATTATCTAACTCTTACGATCAGCATGTGTGCAAGGCCGCTGGAGGGGTTTTCATTTCTGTTTCTAACGTGTAATTTGACACATCGGAAGGAAATGCGGTGAACGGCGCTCTCGCATGTGCAGTGCAGATTGAACACACTTGTGGGGCACTCTGGGAACAAATCAAGGTCAAATATTTACATGGAATGTTGACCCTGATTCATAAAACCACTATTTTAAATTATGACACCTTTACATATAATCAATTTATTTCATGAATAGCCCCATTTGATTATTAAAAAAATACGCCTTTCAAATAGTTAATAAATATATAAAATTTCACTAAATACTATTTTTCTTTCAACATGACATCTAAACTCTTTATAAATCAACAAAAAATAATATTTTTTCTCTTTTGAAGTCACAGATGCAATGATCTTTGATTGGCAGGGTCTTATGCATGCAAGAATTGCAGGACGTGTTCTCCTATACAGCTTACGGACATTTCTAGTATGTTTAACTACATAATTCACTTGCTGAAGATCAGCAGTATCAAGAAAAATGAGAGATCCCATCTAAATATTTACCGTGTGAGATTTTTCCTTAAACTTCTTTGCAAATGGCAAGGTTAGGACAGTATCTCGCTAGTGTTCAGAATCGTTTCAATGATAAAGAAATAAGTTAACATCTCAAGAAAAGCCTTCTAAAATATATCGTAGTGCTATGTGTGGTAATCAAATTGCGTATGTTTAAAAAATGATCACATTTTCTTTAACTGTATCAATCACGTGTAAAACGTCTACTTTTAGGATATGAATCACTTTTTTATAATTTATCGGGAAAATCCAAAGGCAGCTAAGAAAAAAAAACAAGTATCTTTTTGGTGATTTCAAATAAAAATGACCTTTGTAATCATGACTTACCCCCGAGATATCACCATTCTTATTAAAATTAATACCATAAGGAAAGGTTTTTAAAGTTACCTACGTAGTTTTTAAAAGTCTATTTTCCCTTATTAAATATTTGTTGAGTCACTGAACTATTTTCAAAAGCACTTCTCAAGCTATAACATGAAGGCTACTTACTCAAGGCAAATTTTCAGTAGTTTCTTTAAGAAAGATTTTAAAACGCACCCACTGTGAACATATTGTGCGTACGTAAGAAAAAGCTCACACTTTTAGTGAACAGGATCTCTTGTTACTGCCAGCCCAGCAAAATCTGTGATGATTTGCCGGGAAACCAGTGCCGCTGCCCTATCTGTATGGGGCTATTAACACCCTCAGCTGCTAACAGGCGAACGTGATGGCAGTGACCACATCTGAGACAGCTGAGGCCCTGAACTCTGTTCTCTCCTTGTTTCTCTTTAGAGTACTCGCCCTGGAGATGGAGCTCTGTTACAGACAACCAGACAGCTCAAAGCTTTGCTTCGAACACAGTGCTGTGCACATGCTGATTCTGGATCTTACACTCACACATCATATTTGAAATAAGGCTGTAAAAAGATACAAACAAAACCAGCATTCAGTCTTAGCAAGATCGTCCATTTATGACAGTCGATACAGATTAAAAAAACCCTCCCACCAAAATGGTAACTGAATTTATTCTAATCATGCAGTCTATAGAAAAGGGTTACGGAATTTTTCTTAGTTATGAATGCAACCAGCTCACTGGAACCCAGTGGGTATCTGTCTCCAATCTGTCAAAAGTTGTTTTTAGCTCATTGAAGGCCACGGTGAGATCATCATTTACTATAATCTTGTCAAAGAGATGACCATATTGGCTTTCCATGATCTGTGCAGACTGAATCATTTCTTGAAAGTCTTCTTCCTACAAAGGGAAGTATTTTTTTTTAAATTGGTTAACCAGGCAATTACATCACTTCCTATCAATGCAAACATCCCACACTGGCTGACTTTGTGCTCAATCCTTCGCTTCAACCAGAAATGGGAATTACCCTCTTTAACCATAAGTTCCTCAGGAGTCATAACTTCCAACACTCTCTCTCTGATTTGCTTCTAACTGAACTGCTCTGATGAGACCCAAAACTCCCGCCTTCCTTGAATTTCTGGATAATCTGTTACTAAGTTAGCATAACGGGGATATTTCTGTTCTAAAATAGCTACGGGGGGCAGGGTGAGACTGTTTACTCTGATATTCTGACTGATTGCATTATCTGTGCTTACGCACAGCAAGCAACTTATAACACAAACTACTTTTTCAGAGTTGAACACATTTATAAAGAGTCACTACGCCCTGCCTACTTCTCATTAGGAGTGGTTCAGAAGCCATTCACACTCGCATTTTGAAACCTGAAAGTGTTTTAGTTGGCTCTGTAACTCAAGACTATATAATTATATGCATAAACCTAATGGAGCCAAATCCTAAGAATATGTTACCATTTATTATCTTGAGAAACCTTTAAATTTATAAATAGTATACAGTAAAACTCCTTCTAATGCAACATACTGAAATAATTTCAGAGTCCACATTTCAATGTCACATAAAATTGCACAACAATAAAGAATTTAACTTCAGTGTTAATTAAGAACACCAAGTAACTAACATCATGATTATACCCAGTCGGCACGGATATGTACTGTCATTATTTTAGAAAAATATTTATCAAATATTGGGGATCAAAAATGTAATCTGTATTTTGGTATCACAATTAACAGTTTATAAATTAATATAGACTAAGGCTAAAGATGAGCTAATAAAGAACAAAACAAAAATATAGTTCTTGACATTTCATTTCTTAGCTTTTTATCTTGATCCAAAGGCAGAATACATTATCTTGAGATTAAAAACAAAAAACAATGAAAGGTCTTGCCAGAAGCCATTATGATCGTTAACATACTACAGTCTCCATTTCTAAAAACACTCACAGGAAATACAAATATTACTGGGTAATAATACGAGTCTACTTGCCCTATACTCAAAAAAGGTGTTTTTTCTTGTACTGTGCGAAATTTGATCACTGATGGCAAAGAGACAAAAAAGGCAGATTATTAAAATTTTCATTTAGTCTATTCGTCTTCATGAGTAACAGGAACTGACTTTGGCTTTTTTTTTTTCACTTTAAGAATAAGGCTACTCTGAAAACTAATTGGTATGAGTGTTCTATAAATGTCCAATCCACAAAAATCTAATCTGTATGCACAAATGCATACTCAATATTTTTGAGTCAACTTCATATGAAGATCCGTTCATAGACGCACAAAAGACAACTACAGGTCAGTCATTCAAAATATATGCACCTAAATGCAATTCTATCTTTTCCAGATTTTGGATCACAACAGCGAACACTATAGTCTTTCCAAGGTGGTTGCTGCTGCACACCTTCTTCCAGCTTTGCTGACGCAGTATTGCCGACCATCGTCACACTTACTGTAAAGGGTTTGGCAGCTCCTTGGTCATCTCGGCTTGAAATAATCTTTGCATTTTTTCTTGTCTCTCTTAAACGTTCTATTGATGGAGGTTTTATAAATATCACGAAAGGCTTAAATTCTAGTGTCCTTAAATGCTTTACTGTCTGCAAGAAAAAAGAATACGTTTTCTTGTATTTCTTTATAACATCGTGAGTGAGTTTTACAATAAAATGGAATTTTCTGTCTAATGAGAAAATTCTTAAAATCATTTTCTAATTAAGGTCAGTAGGTCTATGTTATTATTCAATGAGTCATTGACAATTAAATGTAATAAATACCTCTGAAAAGCTGCCTAGAGAATGTAACTTGCATAGATAAATGTTGTGAAATGTGCTATAATTAATATCGAACAGAAGTGGCTAACCATACTATGAAACTGGTTTTTAAATTAAATACTCAAAAGACACTGTGAGTCAAACAGAAAGACTTTCGTGCGTGGAAGTATTCCAATCATCCCATTCAGATCTTTTCCTGACCCCAAACAAGCTCTCTCTTTCCTCCTGCCCTTCAGAATGCCCTCAAAGGGCAGGCTCCTCCGCCCCATGAAGGTTACCAATCTGCCTCATCAAATACTTTATGCTATTCAGGCTATGCTTTGGGACTCATCTATAATCAAGGGTGATTGATAGTAGGGTGATATTCTTTATCTATATGGCTCTAGAATATGAATATATATCATAAATTGCACTGAAAAGTTAGGTAGACAGGCTGTGTGTGAGTGTGAGAGAGAGTAGTGGTGGTGGGGGCGGGGAGGGAGGGGTAGGTGAGCACTTGAGGGACTTTTGGAGTGACTAGTACACTGGCAGAGTTTCTTCATAAGCAGAACTATCCCATTCATTGCTGGTGTCTAAGTCAGGATTCAGCCTCCCTGCTGAGTCCTGGTACCCCTGTACTCCAGATTTATCTTCTTTAAGGGCAACAGCTGTGAGGATGATGCAGGACCAGGCAGTGTTTCGCTCTGTTGTACGCAGGGTCGCTGTGAGTTGGAACTGACTTGACGGCACCTGACAACAACCATGGAGGGTGTACGGGGCTTCTCCAGGGCATTCTGGAATTTCCAGGCTGTGCACAAGGCACATCCCGTGGTGCAGCCATGTCGGAGGACATGTCTATGGTTTCTGAGTGATGAGGAAAACGCCAAAGGTTGAATGGTTTCTTCCACTATACATTCTCAGTCCAGAATGTTCCTAAGAGCTCCCAGAGGGAAGGGCAAAGATCAGCCTGACGGCTGCAATAGGGATCTCATTCATCACAATTCCTGTAAAATGCCACTCAGCTCTCGTTGGCTGGCTGACCCTTCCAGGGCACACTTACAACCAAAATCAAAGAAAGAGACCAAGAAACAAAACATCCACTATTAAAAAATGTGAACACTTATCATACATAATACACAACATACATTATACCTATAATAGTGTAAGGTTTTTATAAAAATACAAAATATTTAGAAGAAATATCTAACAGTCATTGTAACTGGCAAAAACTGAATATAAACAAGAGTTACAAACACAGATCTTGGAGTATTTCCCCCACCTTCAGGGCTTTTTTTTCTTTCACAAAAGACTTCTCTAATTACACTTAAATGCTTTTGTCTTAAATGTGGTTTAGAAAAGCCACACAGATGCCAAGAGTGAGCAGACTTCAAATCTACCTCCTACTGAAATGCTCACACGAAGCGTAGCAGATTACAGGGGCCAGAGAAGCGCAGAGTAGCTCGCTGTTCACTTACGTGCGGCTGCACATCCAGCAGGCAGACTTTGTTTTTCGCTAGCACAGACCGGACCGAGTCCACGCTGGTGCCGTAGTAGTTGTTTTTATATTCACCATATTCAATAAACCTGCAGAAAATTAGAGACGTATCAGAATCATTTGTAAATTTAAAAAAAAATTACAGTTAGCAAGATACAGAATTCATATGGAAGAGGTATTTTCACTGAACATATTTAATAAAATAAACTCCATTTAATAAAATAAATAGAGCCAAGTACTTCAGAATGTCAATTTTAAAAAATCTTCTACTTTACATTTCCAAATCAGTAACACTTGCTTGTATTACACTTAAGCGGAAACAGAAAGTGCTGCAGTCCAGCGGTACCCTCATGTTTTCCATCACTTCTTTTTCAGAACTAATGTAATGCAGTAAAACAGTGAGTAAGCCAAACAATAGAAACTACTGAAATTTCATTGCACACTAAGCTCGACTTAGAAGTAGAGGAGGAGCTGGGTGGTGGCTAATGGAGCCAGGACAGCCGATGGTGCGCTATAAAAACACAACCGCTGGGCCAAACGAAAAAAAGGCATTTTGATGTTTCAAGAAAATCCCACAAACCTGCATTGAAACACATATTACTCTCTGATACCCTAAAATAGTCATGGTTAAGTAAATGGAAAACCTGGCAGGGGTGGGACCTGGGGGAAGAAAGCAACTTAGAGCGAGCTAGAGAATATGGCACAAGCCAGGTAACTACCATGATTTCAGCTTCCTGACGAGCAAAAGAGGGAAAGAGCATGTGTGGAGGGGACTGCAGCATCAGGGATGTATTCAAACAGCTGCCGGCGAGTCGATTCTGACTCCTGGTGACCCCACGTGTGTCACAGTAGAACTGTGCTCCATAGGGATATATTACATGGTTGTTAATTCATTTTTAAGATAAAATTTTATCCAAATTATATATTAGGATTCAACTAGTGGGGTGGAAAGAGGTCACAATAAAACATTAGCCACCTTCCCTTATTCTGCAAAATAATTCTTCTATGTTTCACTTAACAGAAATGGAAAAGGTCTAGGTTATTAGAAATTAGAGGTGAAGACTGATAGCTATTATTAGCCAAATTATCATCTTTTTGTTTTGTTTCAAATATTATAAAAAATACACTACATTTCAACTGGAGGGGAACTTCCAGTTGTCTAAAGCTGGATGTAGAAGTACATGCTTAAAAACCACAGTCACACAAGATTGTTTTAAAATTGCCACATACTTGTTGTTTTGTACATCTGTCTCAAACAAATGCTTGGAAGTGAAAATGTATTCAACGCCGTCACTCTCCTGGCTTCTTCTGGCTCTGGTTGTGTCTGGGATTTAATTACAAAGAGTTTAAAAAAGCCCATGCCAGTCGCCCTAAGCAAAAATTTAAAAAGAAATCATCAAGTATATTTGATTAAAGTGCATTTCTTAAACATGTTTTTAAAGTTTATATAAAGCAACACAGCTAATAAAGTGTCACTAATTCATATTTTCTGATATTAAAATAATACTAATTTGAAGATGGATCTGTCTGCTATTATCCATGACATTTTCAAGGCTCTCTAAAATGCTAATTAGATGAAAATGTTGCTTAAACCCTTGAGAAAAACCCATTTCTTTTGCAAGTATTACGCTTATTATCTTTACTTATTGATCTTTATCTATTAAAGCAAGGCTCTCCCCACTATGTTGTGAGGTACACAGATTCCACTCTTCAGCACGTGGCACACGGGGGCTGCCCTCCACGTTTTGTTGTGCTAATGGAATGAAGTCAATGACCTCTGTTCGCTATTCTTCCTTCTTTGCAACGTTAAGAACAGCATATTTTTAGAATGCCATTGAATTTCCAACCTTTCAGTAATTAAGAATGTTTTTTGCATCAAGAGGTGCTGTTATTCTCTGTGAAGCTCACACCCTCTGCAGAAACAGCATGAAATACTGATAAATTTAATTCTATCATAAAAACTAAGAATAAATTTCACAGCAGCAAAACTCTGTTCAGTATATGTAACATAATACACATCCAAGAATATGAGCAGTATTAAATTCAGGATGATGCCTTGTTGGCAGTTTGGGGTTAATTTCCTTTATTATTTAAATAGCTACGTTGTTGTTTGCTGGCATTCTTTTAGCAAATGGTAGGTTTTAAGAAAAATAATACTGCCGGAAGTCAAAACTGAGAATTCCCCGTGGATTAATTTGTTTCTCATGAACTAAGGAAGGATTGTCGTAACGCACTTCTAAAGACAGAACACCTGGAAAATGCAGAACACACAGTTTAAAGACCACTGATTCGATGGATGGTGCTCTCTTGGAGAGTAAAAATATTATTTAAAACCATATCCAGTGATAGCTAACAATACATTCATGAACTTGCCAAACACATTTAAAAGGTAACAGGTCTACAACCAAACTGTTTGCTTATCATGATCAGTCTGAATTACCCAGGTCTGATATTATTTTACTGATGAATTTTAGTATCTAACTGCAATGAGGTATCAAAGGAACTTCACAGATAAACTCATTAACCGTGAAGAATCCTGAAAAAGGGCTTTGAAAATTGTTCCGACGGAAAAGGAAAGATGGGCATACTCATCACAATGCAGGTCGCTAACCCGCACAGCTCACTGTCTGAATACCCATCATGCTTACAGCTCAAGACAAACAGCAAACTCCATTGCCCCCTTCCCCACCCTGCAACAAAATCCCAGAATAACCTTTGCAGCAAAAGAGAAAAAAAAAAAAAAAACAATAATTTTTTAAAACAGGTACTTTAGGTTATAACACTACTTTTTTTAGAAATCTCAACTGAGGTATCCTATAGACAAAGAAGTTGCTAGAGCATGAGTACTATCAAAAGTGTGATATATGCCTATAATGTCCACTTTCCCTGATACCATCTTGAAAATACCGATTTGTAACTCTTCATGAGAAACTACAAAGGGATTAACAGGTATGACGGAGAGTGTCTAGATACAAAGACTTTGGAACCATCAGGTATTTAATATCCACTGAAATACCTCTTGGTAACGACTTTAATTTACTGAAAGATTGGTTATATTGTCATTTAGATAGGTTGATGATAATCTATGGCTTTAAAACAACACTAATGTTGCTTATCAAGGATGAGATTTCTCACAAGAAGAAATACATAGAAAACAGGGGCTCCTGCCACCACTTTCTTTCAAAGCAATTTTTAATACTTAATATGGCTATATAGAAGATCTCATACAACTTTTTCAGCCATTTTAAACCCAAGAGTAATGGAATTTTCCTGATTTAGCATCCCTTTAAATGCTTTTTATTTCTACACTGAAATAATCATAAATGCATAAGAAGCTGCAAAAACAGTACACTCAGCTTCCCCCATGGCAACATCTTACAGAACTACAGCACATTGTCAAAACAAGGAAAATGACATTAGCACTATACTAATAAGAATTTGTTGTTGCTAGGTACACTGTCACGTTGATTCCTACTCATAGTGACCCCATATGACAGAGCAGAAATGCCCCATAAGGTTTTTTTGGCTGTAATCTTTACGGAAGCAGATCTCCAGGTCTTTCTTCTGCAGAGTTGCTGGGTAGCTTTGAACTGCCAACCTTTTGGTTAGTAGTTAAGTGCTTAGCTCTTGCGCCACCTGGTCTCCCTACTAAGTACTTAAAAAAAAAAACCCATTGCTGTCGTGTCGATTCTCATAAGATACCAACACCTCCTGAATTCTACATCTTTGTTAGCATCTACATGAGGAGATAAGAAGTCCATGTCTCTGGAGCAGGCGCGGTTCAGTATTATTGCCCTAAAACCAAAAACCAAACCCACTGCTGTCGACTCACAGAAACCCTCCAGGATCGAGCAGAACTGCCCCACAGGGTTTCCAAGGAGCGGCTGGTGGATCTGGCTAGCAGCCGAGCTCTTAAGCACTGCACCACCAGGGCGCCTGCTAAGAACTTAGCAGACTTTTAATACTTAAAACACTGAAGTAAAATATAAAAAAATTTCACATATAAGTGTATATGGTTTGATGAATTTGTATAGAACGAACACAACTAGCACTCGAACAAGAAGAGAAAATTGCCAGCTTCCCAGAATCACCTCCTGGACTCCCTGCCAACTCATCCCCTCAAGACTTCTAATAGCACACTTTAGCCTTGTTGTGTGTGTCTGTGTGTGTGTGTGTGTGTGTGTATCTCTTCACTCAACATGTTTGTGGGATTCATTCATTCTGTTGCACGTCATTGTAGATTGTTCATTCTCATCGTGTTGTAGCATTCCACAGTGTGAATATACCAAAATTTACTTATCCATTTACTACTGATGGGCACTTGGATAGTTTCCAGGTTTGGGCTTTTATGAATAGTGTTTCTAAAAATATCCAGTACATGACTTTTGATGAATGTATTTCTGTTGGGTATATACTGGGAGAAGAACAGCCGGGTCATATGGCATGTATTTGTTCAGCTTTAGTAAATTCTACCACTTAGTTTTCCAAGTGGCTAGATTAATTGACACTCCCACCAGCAATGTGTGAGAGTTCAATTGTTCCATATCGTTTTCATTTTATCCATTCTGGTGGATATTCTGTACACGTTTTGGAAAGGAGAATTGTAGATTTAAACATTAAACAGGATACTGGTGGCATAATAAAAGCAACTAATTTATCTCTAAATAATCAATACTGTACCCAAAGTATTTTACAAAGCAAAAAAAATTCTATATTTCCAAAACCGCTCTTAAATATATTCTTCTTTAAATAATTAAATCACCTTAAACTGCTGTCATAGCTGTACTTTCCAAACTCGTCTGATATTATGAATTATTTGGGACACCCGCTGTAAGTATAGATTCTCAGTCCTTCTGTTAGGCTCCTGAAGGAGAATCTTCTGGAAAGGACTTGAAATCTTTTTATAACCACCCCACGATGTTCTTACTATCAGGCAAGTCTGGAGGATACTGCTACATGGGGATCCTCTGACATTCATAATCTGTTTAAAAGTGAATCAGACTGATCGATGTCACTGGATCATACACGTAGACACTGCTGAATTGGTGTGTGTTTTGCTGTGTGTATTCTCAACAACAGCAACAAAATAAATGAAAATTGTTAAAAAAGTGAATCAAACTGAATTTCTGTTAAAGGGAAAAACTGGAATGAGTGGTGACGGCTGCATGACGGATAAACGTCATCAATGTCACTGAGCTGCACATGTAAAAATGGCTGAAACAGCCAATGTTTGGTCATGTATATTTACAACAATTTAAAAAAAAGTAAATCAGAGTCGAAAGTTATTACTTTAGGGACTTCTTCGGAGAGTCCTAGCCCAGAACCTTTCTAGATGGAATCAGTTTCTGTAATTTCAAAGGCAAATGCTGTTTTTTTTCATGTCTAATACTTCCATTTATTATGACTCACCAACTTGTAGTCTGATGTGTACATTCTATTTTAGGAGGTTTTGTTGTGTGTGTGAAGGAGCCCTGGGGCATCATTAAGCTCTCAGCTGCTAACCAAAAGGTCAGTGGTTCAAACTCAACAACTGCTCCACGGAAGAAAGATGTTGCAGTCTGCTTCTGTAAACATTTACAGCCCTGGAAACCCTATGGGGCAGTTTCACTCCATCCTAAAGGGTGGCTATGAGTTGGAATTGACTGGACAGCAACCAGTGTGGTTTGTTTATGGATTTTTTTTTCATTTCTTTTGTTTTTGTAGATTTTGTTTTTACTGAGACTTTCTGTTTTTCTTCTTTATTTTGATGAGTAGGTTTGTTAACTTTCTTTGTGGTTACCTTGAAACTTACCCTTATCTTCCTAGGTTTGAGCCCGTCTAGTATTACTTGCTATCACCTTGCCTTCCTCTCCATTAGAAGGTTCTACACTGACACCGTTTATTCCCTCTTTTATTGTTCTAATGTTGTTGACATTTACAGATTAACTCTCTGGTTCCCTGTTGTAATTCTATTGGTTTTGGATAGTCCTTGAGAGTTCATTTCCTAGGTTGGTATCTGGCTGGTACGATCTTACATCCTAGATTCTGGCTGTGGTCTGATGCTGTTTGTTCTCAAACCGAAGGACTCCCTTTAATACCTCTTGTAAGTTTGGTTTGATTTTTACATATTCCCTTAATTTCTGTTTATCTGGAAATGTCCTAATTTCACCATCATATTTGAATGAGAGTTTTGCAGGATATATTATTCTTGGTTGGCAATTTTTTTCTTTCAAGGTTTTATATATGTCATCCCATTGTCTGCTTGCCTGCATGGTTTCTGCCGAATAATCAGAGCTTAGTCTTATTGATTCCTCTCTGCATGTGACTTTTTTTCTCAAGCTGTTCGCACGATTCTTTCTTTGTCTTTGGTTTTAGCAAGTGTGATTATGATATGCCTTGGTGATTTTCTTTTGGAGTCTACCCTACATGGAGTTAGTTCAGCTTCTTGGATGGTGAGCTTTTCATCTTTCATGATATTGGGGAAGTTTTCTGTCAGCAGTTCTTCAGTGATCCTCTCTGTGTTTTCCATTTTCTCCCCCGGTTCTGGAATTCCAATCACTTGAAAATTTTTGCTTTTGATTATATCCCACATAATTCTCACGGTTTCTTCATTTTTCTTTGTTCTTTCTTCTGATTTTTCCTCAAAGTTGAATCTGAGTGTTTGTCTTCAATTTCGCTGATCCTGTCTTCCATTGTTTCAAACCTTCTCCTCAGCCCTTCTATGATACTGTCCATTTCTGAAACCTTGTTGTTTACCTTTTGGATTTCTAATTGTTTTTGTATGATTTCTAGTCATGAACTTATTTTGGCATTTTATTCCTGTATTATTTTCCTGAATTCGTCTATTTTTCCCTCATTTTTGTCTGCTTTTTGCTTCTACTCTTGGATAGCTCTGAGTATTAGAGATCTGAATTCCCTATCAGGTAGTTCTAGTGCCTTTTCTTCTACTGGAAAGTCAACTGGTGTTTTATTTTGGACGCCTACTGGAACCATCCTGTCCTGTTTTTTATATGTTTTCATATTGTCTGCTGTCTTCGGGACATTCAGTAGTTATTTTTTTCATTTATTGATCGTAGATATGTTTGTTTTGTCCTGCTTTTTTGTTTTATTTGGTTATGTCTGAGCAGGCAGGCTGTGCATTCTTTGTTGTTTGCTCGTCTGTAGGCACAATACTTTTCACCTCCTTCTCCAAAGGGCAGGGTCAGTCACTCAGCTGTGGTGCAGCAGGGCAGGTCCAGTGGGCACCCTGTTTCCTGCTGGGAGCTCCATGAAGCTGCCTTCCTGTACTCCGTGTCTACTGATCCCCGATGTGGGCAGGGTGAATCCAAGTGGCATGGTCTCTGCACTTCCCATCCGCCCAAGCAACCGCAGCCAGCTAAAAAGCAGCGGAGGCCAAGTAGGGGGTAGAAGGGTAGGGGATGGGAAAGTGTATATTGCTGGTTACTGGTCCTTCTGACTCGTGCTGGGAGCTCTGTGAAGTTGCTTTCCCATACTCCCTGTCTGCCAATCTCCAACAGGAGTTCAAGATGGTGAATCCATGCTGTGTTAGCTGATAGGGGACCTCTGCAAGTCTCTCTCCTCGCTCTCCATCCTCTGTCAGTTTCTTATTCCATTCGGTGCTTGGCTGAGTTCTTTATATCTTCATTAGACACTTAGGGTTCCAGGATTGATGTTTGTCTCTGTTTGACTTAGTGTTTCGGGTCTTTGCTGTGGAGGGATGACGTGGTGCTTCTGTCTATAGCACCATGCTGGCTCCGCCTCCTGGCAAATGCTATTTTAATAGCTGAATAAACTGAGCCCAAATTGCTTTGCCCTAGGTTTTTCAGAAATACCAAAGCTATAACAGAGGAATTAAGCTTGAAAGACAGCCTTATTGATATTTATCCTCTTAAAACAAACAAGTCTTTAGTACTAACAGGGCTACAAGAAAAAGAACTTGCAGTCTGAAAGGACTGTGTACTGTTAAACAGGAGGAATGAGAAATGGCATCATAAACTTCGTCTCAAATCCAGGCGCAGCTATCACCTATGGAAATCTCAATAAGTCAAAGCATATTTTCCACCCCTATTTCCTTCTCTGTGAAACAGAGCTAATAATACCCATCTAATGAGGACTAGGTAAATAGAGACAAATAAAGGAGATGAATACACAGCAGGAAATTAATACATTTTTTCCTTTTAACCTCTTTCCATCCTCTAGGTTTCTTTCACAATTGCTTACGTGTATGCTTAATAAGTGTTCTATGAGTTTCTCACTACCTGTATATTGCAATGCAGCTTCTGTAAGAGAAGTGAATGATTAAAGTTAAAAAAGAAAAAAATGAAACCTTCTAATTTCGTATTTTCTGTTACTTCCATCTCTGTTGGTGGAAACCAGCAGTCCTATAACTTATGGCTGAAAATGATTATAAACAGTAATTTGGGAAAATGCAGTTAACAAGGGATAACTTGAGGTAATAGAAAACGATGATTTTAAAATAAAGTTGAGCTCTTCCAAAACTAAAGAACATTGCTAAGGGCAACATACAAAGGACTTTTTTTTTTAACAGTGCTAAAACCACTTGAAAAAGCCAACACTGCCATTTAGCCTTTTAGACAGCTTCGCTAACATCAACATATTAAGTGGTCAGGTGGCGTTTACTCTGGAGATCAAAATGCTTCCAACATCACATTTCATTTGTAAGACTGCCTGTGAAAACAACTTTTATCAAACTAGATCTAATTCTGTGTCCTGAGAAGAAGCCTACCATATCTGGAATATATGCCAATGAAAGTCCCATTGAACACCATCTGCCAATTACTACATATAAAAAGTAATTAAGAAAGGTTTATATTGTAAGAAGTCTCCTTCGTCCCTCTGCGATTTGGTGAAAAACTCTGGAAAACCTTAGCGCTTATTTTAGGAAACAGAATAGTAAAGAATATTTTTTAAAAGAAAATTCGTGAATGATACTTTGATGTCATGTGTACTGAAACATGCCGTGAAAAGCTAAGAGCAGGGAAGTTGTGACTATCAAATAGCCTGCAAATAACCCGTGTAAACTAGGGCAAATCTCTTACGATGCTGTGTAAGGGTTCAGTGAGGATCACCATGAGTGTTAACAGCAGGAGCACAGCACAGTACAGAACTTACGTGGTACTGTCACACCGTAGTGGTGTGTGTCACTGATCAGCAGCTTTCGTTTCAGTTCATTTAACCCTACTCCGATAGGGCCTGAAAAAAAACAGGATAATATAAATTCATTACCGAGCAAAACACTGTAGAAACATTGCTATCATTGACATGAATCCATGAAGACAGACCGAGGACATGTTCCCAACTCTGTGCCCCAAGAGATGAGCTCTAGTCAAGTTGTATATAAGAAGCCAGGATTCCTTCTGTTGCTTTTTTTACTTTTTAAATTCAAATACCCACCTTCCCCTCAAAAAAAGTTAGAAATATTTGTGTTTTGAATGAAACATAGTCGAGAGTATCTAAATACATTATCAAGTAATGGTTCCCACTAGAGCTTAAAAAACGTGCACTTAAAAAAAAATTAGATTACGTAGTTCAGATAGTGATAATTTTAATTTTACATGTTTTAGAGTCTAATAAAAAAATCACTGGACCTTGATTTTATTTTGGATGCAAATGAAACGATGCATTGTAAATCTGCAAAACCATCTGCCCATTGACATTTGTCAGGACCCCCTCCTATGCTGTATTACTTTCGGTTGCTCTTTGCTGTTGTCGCTGTTAGTTGCTACAGAGTTGATTCCAACTCATGGAGACCCCATGTGTGCAGAGTAGAACTGCTCCACAGGGTTTTCAATGGCCGTGACCTTTCTGAAGCAGATCGCCAGGCCTGTCTTCTTAGGTGCCCCGGGGTTAAGTTTGAACCGACAGCCTTCTGGCTAGCAGTCGAGAGCTTAACTGTTTGCGCCCAATAAACTGTGAGCTCTGGGAAAACAGGGCCTTCATCTACCTTCTCACCAGCTGCTTCCCTAGCTGACAGATGTAGGCACGCATTAGTTTATTTACTTAAATTAGACTCAATAAGTGTTCTGTTACAGAGATAAAACCATTTGATAAATGAGCCAAAGGAGTAGGAGTTGAAGTCAAAAAGGGCTCGCACTAGGACTTAGATCTCATAAGGCGACAAGCTCAAGGTCACGAAGAGAAGTTGGTGGAGCTTACGTCTGAGCTTGGTTCTCTGGAGATGCAGCAAAGGGGACTGTGATGAATTCAACTCTAGATACAAGGAGTTTATGGAAAGGAAAGATCTAGCTAGCTAACAAAGGACTGCAATTTAACAGAGAGGACAGAATTGGGTGCCGCTGTGAATGTAATCCTATCAAGGTACACATTGAAGCTGTAAGAACAGATGAGATCTCTGAGGGAGAGATACAAAGGAATAAGCATTGACTGACTGCTTACTCTGTGTCAGGCACAATGTAGGGGCTTATGCATTTTACCTTCTCCAAAGGTCCAAAAACATATTCACAGTAAGAGCTAAAACTTCCTCGTTAAAACAAACAGGAAACAATCAAGAAAAACCAGGCGCATTACAGTGGAGTTGCAGGACGCGCACAGGGTACGGGGGAAGCAAACTCAATTACGTGCGCTCAAAAAAGCAGAAGACAGAGGCGAACATTAAAGCTGCAATAACGGGCCGGACCACCACGTCCCTCAGGGCACCCAGGACTGAAGGAACTGACGTCAATTTACTGTCCCTGGAAACCCTGGTGGAGCAGTGGTTAAGAGCTATGGCTGCTAACCAAAAGGCTGGCAGTTGGAATCCACCAGCCGCTCCGTGGAAGCCGTATGGGGCAGTTCTCCGCGGTCCTGTGGGGTCGCTGGAGTCGGAATCCACTTGATGGCAGCAGGTCTTCTGGTTTCCAGTAGGACCCAGCTCTGAATGGTTTCCCAAGGCGTAAGATACTTCATTAGTGTGATTCTAGTATTTTAATTCTGTTAATTTTTTTTTTTTTTTATATTATCCAGTACCTAATCAGAAAAACAACAATCTATTTTAACCTGGAACCAAACTAGTTGTATTTGAATTAGTGTGTAAAAGTATGTCATCTCCAATGTGATACCCTTAAATTTTGACTTTACTCAGTTTTGCCCCTTTTGTGATGACTTTGTAATCTAATGCTCACAAAAGTAACTTCACTGTAGTCTGTAAAGGTATGTGCTTATGTAATGTATAAAGAATTTTCAGTACTGGCAAATGATTTTATTGAAAAATTTCCCCTAGGAAAGTGGAAGTATCCTCCCAGAAAGGTTAAAACAAAGACATAATTTCCGTCATCCTTACCGTGAAACTGCCCAGCTAGCCTGCACATAGAACTTTCTCTCATGGCCCCTGGATCAATTCTACCATCCACACCTGAGACGTTCTAGTGTTTCTCCTCTTTGGAACTTGACCTTAAGACCACAACTCAGATCCCTACTCCTTTCCCACATCCCTCCTCTAGGGTCAACACGCATTCGCACTTTTACTGGGCTCTCTTGTATTTAAAATATCAGTCCATTTACATGGCCGGTAATTTGGGGGTAAGAGCAGGGGTAAGAGCAGTTAGGTTCATTCTTCTGCCTCTGCAATGGGACGGGTTCATTTCCTCTTCAACCTATCAATTTTTACCATAATTGATCAAACATATTTCCACGTACATATGTAAACAGGTTACTCTGTATGTTTTCAATTGTGCTTGCTCAGGATAAAGTGAAGCAGAGAAGACAGCACATGGTTAAATCACAGACAACAGGCTCTGGAATAACAGTAACGAACCAACACAGTGGGGTCTTTCGTGTGGCAGGCACGTGCTACACGGTTTGCATGCATCACACCCAATCCTCAAAACATCCCTGCGGGCAAGGTACTGTTAACCTCATTCTACAGATGAACAGCTGAGACAGGAGAGGTGAGTCACTGTCCTACGTCACCCATCTGGAGTGTGGCTCCGCGGGCACTCTGAGGCCGTCTGACGGACTCCAGGTCTGCTTTCTCTCTGGTTTACCGTTGGGGCATTAGAAGAATGAATGGTGGTCAAACCTCACTCAGGTGCCCTGGGATCTGTAACTTCCTGTCCCACACTTCAGACTGTGCTTGGGAAATAGGCAGAGCCTCTGGCTACAAACGGGCAGGAGTCGGACCCCGTGATCGCTAACCTCGTTCTGGGCACAGCCACTCAGCAGTCTAAAATGGACGTAATTACAGTGGTGTGCATACCAGGCCTGAGGACGTACATGGGGGCATGTCTGTCAGAAGTCCTGCTTGATTCAGGGCTCAGGAAAATCAAATACAACGAGGATATGTGAGTAAATGCCAAAAAGGCACATCAGAAAATCATTCTGGAGTTCATTAGTTTGGAATTCTGGCAGTGACCTAAAGTTGATGTGCTTACTAGCTTTAAAAAAAAAAAAAAAAAAAAATACAAGGCTGCTTCTATTCAAACCAAAATGTAAATAAGTATTTATCTGCTTCATTTTAAAAAAATTCGTAAGAATTTACAAAATTACTTTGTGTGTAAATTCTGGAAATAAGGAATAAAGACACGCATCAATCCCCATTAGCTGAAGTTCTTAGGAAAAAATGTATCAATTGGATAACTAAGTAGAAAGGCATATTATTTTTAATTACTTTGTATGCATTTAATTAGTAACTCCTTACTGAAAGTCTACAAATATGTTATGTGTGATTTTATATTAGGCTTCATTCATTTCAGCCAAAGAAATACAGCCTATTTTGGGTGCCAATAAAATAAAGTTAGTAAAGCTTCTATTTAAAATTTTACATTTAAGAACTCTTTCATTTAAGAAAACAGTCACTTAATTACATGCAAACTAGATTCCTTTATTGTTATCTTTAAAAAGATGAAAAAAGACTGTATGTAAATTTTTACTCTTCGTTTACATGGAAAGAGGAGTTAGACATACGTAACACACTTTCCCCCAAATGACCCATAATTCTGCTGTCGTTAGAGCCCTGGTGGCGCAGTGGTTAAGCGCTTGGATGCTGAACAAAAGCTGGGTGGTTCCAACCCACTAGCCACTCCTCGGGAGAAAGATGTGGCGGTCTGCTTTGCACAGATTAGTCTTGGAAACCCTGTGGGGCAGTTCTCCTCTGTCCTATAGGGTTGCTATGAGCTGGAATCCACCTAATGGCAATGGGTTGGATCCATGTCATTATGAGAAGTTGAGGGTCTTCACTGTTCAATTTTCAGATTTCTTTCTTTTTATTTCACAAAAATGTGTGTTTATGATGTATAACAAAGTACATGTGTGGAAAGCAAGAAATATACTTTTATTAAAATGCTAGCACAGTATACTTTCAAAATTAATTCACAGTTGATGCATAAGTCTTTTCATTCCGTAAACATGGGCCCCAGAAAGAGCTATTTTCTGAAACTGAAACAGACATATACAACTGAGAAACAAAAAAGATCAATGAGCGGAAAAGTATTGAGAAAACAAAACCACTGACAGAGGTAGCACTTCGAAACTGTAAATGCACTGGGAGGACGCTTTAGAGTATCAGTGTGATGTTCTCATACATAAAACATCGAAGTCTGGGCCGTCCTCTACGGTACTGTATTTGTAGCTTCGATCACCTACTTCTTTACGGGTTAGTGCAGATCCTGAAGGAACAGCTGGTACACAGTCATACATTATTCTAGTAAACAGTCCTTCAGGATCTGCACTAACCCGTAAAGAAGTAGGTGATCGGAGCTACAAATACAGTGCCACAGAGGACGGCCAAAAATAGGCGTCCCTGGGTGGTGCAAATGGTTGATCGTCTGACGACTAGCTGTAAGGTTGGTGGTTCAAACCCACCCAGAGGTGCCTCGGAGACAGTCCTGGTGATCTGCCTCTGAAAGGTACAGCCTTGAAAACCCTACGGAGCACAGTTCTACTCTGTACACATAGGGTCACCATAAGTCAGAATTGACTCAATGGCCACTAACAACAATTACGAAAATAATTTTATTAAAATCAATGAAATGTGGCAGTGTTTAAAAAAATGACACTCATATAATATACAAAGAATGAGCATAAAATAATTTTTATTTGTAAAAGTCCTGCACGGAATTTAAGTTGTAGTTTTCCTTCAGGCTGATGAATACTGCATTAAATTTAATAATTTAAATGACGACAAGCGGCACATTACACATGGAGGGGCGATCATGCTAAAGGTTACAGTGTCTGTCTCTTAGGAAAGAAAGTTCACA